CTCCCTCCCTCCCTCCCTCTTTTCGATTTATCTTACTTATATGTATACATGTGTCTTTGTGAGCATGGGTGCCCTTGGAGGCCAGGGGCCTACACACAAGAATAAACAAGGAAATTTGTAAATTGATCTTGAAGAAAATAAGAAAAATAACGGAAGTTCTTAAAAGTTCTACCATATAGTATTTATTCAATCAACACCGATGATTTGTTGTAATAAAATCTGATAGTGAAGTGTTCTTATAAAAGCGAAGGCTAGACTGTCAGCGACTGTGACGGCTAAGACGTGCCGCCCCAATGTGTGTGGTAAACCATACCTGTACTTCACACGGCTCGGATCCGCTTTAAAGGGGCCCGACATGCATGGCGTGCTGTGTGCTAAGGGGTACTTAACAGTTTGGTGGAGGGGTCACCTGGTATGTGTCCTCATTACCACCGGGAATAAAGCCGGCCTGTTTTCCTGGTGCCAGCTCATTGCTGATGTGGGGTCTCAGAGCCCTCTCTGTGACCTTCCTTGAGCGCTGAGTGGAGTCGGGCAGACGGGTGCCGCACAGTGGCCGTGTCCTCCCAGATGGGTGCTGACCCGGCTCACGGGACTTCGGAGGCTCGAGCCTCGGGGCCGGCAAGCTGCAGGGCTAGCCTGTTTCCCAGGCAGCGTTTTCTCCGCGGCATCAGCCGGAAGTTGATCTGGCGTTGATCCCGCACTGAGGTCGTCCCTCTCTGAGCGCGGACTGGGGTAGAGCTGTTGGCCCTCCCATTGGTCTAGGATGCTCTCTTTCCCCAATCCTGCCTAACCACCCGCTCAGTGTGACCCCCCCTCTCTTCCCTCTCCAGAAGTCGAACGGGGTTTACACTGGCTTCATTAACGTGCAGATGGAGCTCTGCAAACCCACCCCGACCCCTGCCAGCCCCGGGAGACTCCCGCCCAGTGGCGGCGGCAACGGCTGTATGAACACACTTCACATCAGCAGCACGAACACCGTGGGAGAAGTGATCGAGGCCTTGCTCAAGAAGTTCCTGGTGACCGAGAGCCCTTCCAAGTTTGCACTTTACAAGCGCTGCCACCGGGAAGACCAAGGTGCGTGGCCACACTCAGAACGAAGCGGGAGCGGTCTGTCTGCTCTGTTTATGTCGTTCGTATTCGTTAGCGGAGGGACAGCCGAGAGATGCCGTCAACCCGCCAGAGCCCCGGCGGGCGGGGACAGATGCGGAAGCCACACTCCCATGGCAGACCTTTGTGAGCGATCGAGGGGCTGTGGGGGGCATGTGTGCAGATTTGCTGGTGTGCACAGAGGGACAGGCTTGGTGACAGGGATGTTAATGTCCTTTAGGACACAAAAGAACACTTGTGTGGTTGAAGCCTTCAGGAATGCTTTCCCATGTGAAGTCCACGGACACACGCAGTGGCTCGATGGGCCGGGAGGCACGCGTGGGACTCATTGAACCGACATGTGGAAAAGAATGACCCGGGGTCCGTCCGAACTTGTGTCCATGCCCAGTGCCTAGAAGGAATATTAGGTCCCCTCATGAAATGGGGTGGGATGTCCTGGGTGAGGTGTTTGAGCGGAGGTTGGTGTTGTTTGTGACTCACACGCTCTGTGCTGACCAGGAAGTGCGCCACGTATCAGTGAGCTGTTTAAGCTTTCTCCAGTTTTCCTCTGGGAAAAGCCTAGAGCAGCCACAGAGGGAAATGTACTGAGTTGGACATGATGGCGATGGCCTTCAGCCGCACAGGGTGACGGGCACTCAGCTTCTCTCTGGGGGTGTGCATTTGTTAAACACAGCCCCCCCCAGAGCAGAAAGACGGGCAAGTCAGAGTTCCGGCCCTCCCTCCCGAAGCCATGGGCTCAGCATGCGTCTGAAGTCCCAAGGGGTGACATTTTCAGTTTGCCGGCCACTTGGCCAGCTCGGCTGGACATCAGCTGCACAATGTGAGGTGGCAGTGTCCTGCTGAACCGTCACCCTCATGGCTGGCGTGTCTTTGGACACTAGGGTGCGTCTGTGCGGACACACTGTGTGTGTGTGTGTGTGTGTGTGTGTGTGTGTGTGTCTGTCTGTCTGTCTGTCTGTCTGTCTGTCTGTCTGTCTGTGACAAGGGCCTGGCTTGCCCATCCGACAGTTCTGGATCTGCAAAGAGGTCTGCTCCTCGAGCGTTGGGTTCATGTTGTTTGGTTGAGACATTTTCATTGTTTTTAAAGGGGTTAAGATCTTCCCCCCAAAAAAACTTTTCCATTTTCCTGTTGGGGGGAGGACAGATTTATCATAAGCATATTTGGGGCAAGTTCCTGCTTTAGTTTATTATTGGGTCTCATTTCCTCCTCGTCAGGGCACGGCGTGTGTATGCTGGGTGGGTTGTTCGCTGTGGGCCCGTGGTGTGAGAGAATGGTGATACAGAGTCTCGGATGTGCACTGTGGTGGGGGATGTGTCCGGACGAGGGGTGGGTGTGTGGGGGCCCTGTCTCAGAATCACCACGGTCCCCCGTAACGTGCTCTCTGTCTCCTTTGCCAGTGTATGCCTGCAAGCTCTCCGACCGGGAACACCCCCTCTACCTGCGCTTGGTGGCCGGCCCCAGGACCGACACGCTCAGTTTCGTTCTTCGAGAACATGAAATTGGAGAGGTGAGCAAGGAACTGTTGACAAGGGCGTCAGCCTGCACACCACAGCCGCCCTGCTTCCTTGATGTGCAAGGACAGCGTGTGTGTGTGTGTGTGTGTGTGTGTGTGTGCGTGTGCGTGTGTGTGTGTGTGTGTGCGCGCGCGTGTGCGCGTGCGTACGTGTGTGTGTGTGCGTGTGCGTGTGTGTGCGCGTGCGTGTGTGAGATTTTTGAATCTCCCGAAATGAACCCCAAGTTAGCTTACAGTGTAATTCTCTTCGATCATTCTGTTGCCGAGTGCTCTTCAGGAGTCAGAGGAAGTAACAGTTCTTACTTGTCCCCATGCAGAGAGAGAGCCATGTTTACTTCTTCCCAGCTCCACAGGACTAATCCAGCCTCCCCCTCCCCCCCCCAAGGCTCCAGGCCAGTTTCCTTCTGAAGGGAAACCCCACATGCGTGGCCACGGGATCCCCTGCCCTCTCCACCCAGTCAGATGACCTAGGAGTTGTGTGTGCGCAAGCGCCCTTTTCTCTCCAGGGAGGAGGTAGTGGGGTGCCCACTGGGAGACATTTCAGACTGCCCTGTAGATCATCTGTGAGCTCAGTGATCCTCGACAAAGCGTCCAGCCCAGGTCCTCGGCTCCTGAAGTGAGCTGTGTCCCGTGGTCCCGTCAGTCTGTGAGGCCGGGAGAACAGCCTTGCTGGCTTAGGTGGCGGGAGACCAGCACTGTGGTTAGATGGAGGACACGACCTGAGGCGAACCTTCTGATTATTCTAGCCTTCCGTTCAAAATGATCCATAAAGTGCTACTAAATACTTCTTTTAAAATGATTATTATTAGCTGGACGTTGGTGGCACACGCCTTTAATCCCAGCACTCGGGAGGCAGAGCCAGGCGGATCTCTGAGTTCGAGGCCAGCCTGGGCTACCAAGTGAGCTCCAGGAAAGGCGCAAAGCTACACAGAGAAACCCTGTCTCGAAAAACAAAACAAAACAAAACAAAAAAAAATGATTATTATTAGCTGGGCATTGGTAGCGCATGCCTTTAATCTCAGCAGAGGCAGAGGCAGGTGGATCTCTGTGAGTTCAAGGCTAGCCTGGTCTACAAAGTGAATGCCAGGACTGTTAGAGAAACTCTGTCTGGAAAACCCAATATGTATGTATGTATGTATACATGCATGCATATTATTATTGTTGTTGTTGTTATTATTATTATTATTATTGTTATTATTATTATTAGTGTGTGTGATATGTGTTCATGGACATGTGTACCATAGCACACACATAGAGATCACATATATATATATACATATATATATATATATGTATATATATATAAAAGATTGTAGGAGAGGAAGAAGGCGAGACTGTGACCCCAGATGCAGATATGGGGAGTCCATCTCCGGACCCCCCCACTTTCTTATAGTCTGCGTTCTGCTGGGCTTGGTGTCACATGCTGTCAAGCCAGCGCTGAGGCAGAGGATCGTGAGTTCAAGCCTAGACCGTGCTACAGAGCCAAACCTTTGTCCCTGGGGAGACGAGACAAGAAGGAGCTGAGGTCATGGCGTCCGGACTCTGAGTTAACCCTGGCATGTCCCTCTCTGCCCCCCACAGTGGGAAGCCTTCAGTCTCCCGGAGCTGCAGAACTTCCTGCGCATCTTGGACAAGGAGGAGGACGAGCAGCTGCAGAGCCTGAGGCGCCGCTATGCAGCCTACAGGCAGAAGCTGGAGGAAGCCCTGGGCGAGGGCTGGAAGCCCGGCGGCTAAGGCCGGGGCCGCCTGCCGGGAAGGCACAGCCCGGACCGCCAAAGAGCAGGGCCGCCCCTCTTCTCAGAGAGCTGCTTTGGTGCCCGCCCCGCCGTGCTGGGGGCCCCCTCTTTTCTCTCCAGACACAGTTCCCACAGCTTGGTCACACGGCATCATCCTGCGCCTCACGAACTGGCCCACGGGACTCTGCGAGCTTGTTCTGTTCCGGCATGGCGATGTTACCTCCTGCAAGCTGTGAGCCTGTGGTCCTCAGGCGCATCCCGGACTGCTTGGAAGCATGAACTCTGGCTTGATTTCCCTTGATTTCTTCTAGTTACTTGGATTATGTGATTTTTTTTTTTTTTTTTGGGTTAAGCTTCGGGGTGTGCAGATTAACATGCAATCTTCGAATACTCGTCCTGTGGCGAAACTACCTGCTTGGTTTTCTTCTGTCAGAGCAGCCTGTCCGCGTGATCTGAAAGACACGGGAATGTGGGCACTCTGGGGGGACCGGGGAAAGATTTTGTAAGAGGTTCGACAAAGGAAGCAAAGAGCATGTGGAGAAGGTAGAGGGGAGGCGAGAGCCCACGGCGGCTTGGCGAGGTCGCGCGGCTTCTAAGTTAGCCATAGAGGAGGAAGGGACATTTGTTTGTAAAGGAGTTAGAAGCATCCAGGGTGGACGTTAGGCCCATTTTGAGGTTGGCGGATTTGCTAATGGTAAAGCGTGGAGTCAGAACCGACCAGCTAGGAGCTAAGCCCGAAGGAGGGATCTGTGAGCGGCAGCTGACCTGCCGTGGATGTAACCGAGGTGATCCAGAGCTAGGCCCCCTGCAGCTGGATCTGGTCTCTGCGCATCAAGTCCCCGCCCCCACTGGTGTGGAGTGAATGGTCTCCGGGTGTAGTTCCTCTGTGTAGGTAGGGCTTGGCCATGGCTGATTCCTGTTAAATGTAGTTTTCCCGCCCCCAGAGGTTGTTCTCAGTTAAAAAGTTGAGGTAAGGACGGCTGTTTCCCCTCCGCTGTTAGCTAGAAGATGTATCAAGTCCAGGGCTCGCAGCGGACTTTGTGACAATCACTCCCCCCCCCCCATTCCACCCTTCCTTTCCCCTGACCCCCCGCCCCCAATGGCTCCCTACCCTCCACCCCTCACCAAAATTCTTACAGAGTAGAGGACAGGGTGCTGATTAAAGACCCAATCCACCACATCCTTGCCTCTCAGAGACTCGACTAAGGGCCCCGAGGAAGGAGCGTCCACACCCAGCTGACCGCACAGGCCTTCATTATGGAGCTATTTTAACCAACGTCGCGTGCGTGCGTGTTCCTTCCAACCAAAGAAAGGGATGTGCAATAGAAACCTGCCTGAAGGTGGGCGCGGTCGCCTCCTTTTCTGCGGCAGCTTGCAAGTCGGAGAGCAGAGGGAAGGGTGTGCTGGGCTCCCGGAGGGGCCTTACAGTCAGTCTGTTTTTAGTCTAGATAGATGATGATGTTGTTTATAAATTCCCAAGGAATTGTTAACGCGGTGACACTTAATGGATTCTTTTGGAAATTCCAAGGTGCTCCAGCTCTTTGCCTTTCTCTGAACCGTGCCTTTGACTGAGTATCTGTCCCATCGCGGTGGCTCCTCCTGACCTGTCGGGGACCACCATCCTGTGGGAGGCAGAGCCACGTGTGGGTTTATGCTCCACAAGCTCCCGAGACAATCGGATCTTCTAAGCTATTAGGAAGAGTTGGAAAGAAACAAAAACCAGTAGAACTAGCTATAAAATATGAATGGCACATCTTGTTTAATTTTGCATGTCATTTCTTTCTAGTGCATCCGTGAGGCTTTAATGACATTGTCACCCAACACTCTGCCTTTGTTGTTCAGGGAATGCCTTCGTGGCGTCTGTGCTGGTTTGGCTGTGAGACTGTGGGTTTGTGGTCGCCAGCCAACCACCTGGTCTTCTGATCAATTACTCCTCCGAGTAAGCTTGGAGTTGGTGAGCGTTACTTCTTTACTTTAAGACCCTGTTAGAACCTAAAAGTAGTAGCTGGTGGCTATCTGTGAATTTTTTTTTTCCTTACTTGAAGTAGAGTGTGTGTGATGCAGGAATCCTCATCCGTATCCATCCCAACCTCGCTCGCTCACTGTCACGTGCACTACACCTTGTGAAACTTTACTGTATGAAGACCTGCCAGTTCCTGGTTCCGGAAGACTGCTGTTCCCTCCCGAACACTGGTTACTAGAGCAGCGTTTTTTAACGTGTCCAAGAAGGATAAGAGCCCCGGTGGCCAAAGATCTTGATTTTTTTTTTTTTTCCCACCACTGTTCAAACCCTCACGTGAAAGGAAGCTGAGCTTTGCTGTGATACCGTTTTCTGTTCAGAATGTGATGGTACCGGACCGGCGTGAAAATGAAGGGCAGAGTGGCAGGGGAGCATTTGGAATCTAGACGTTCAAAGCTATATTTATAATGTTGATGAGTTTAAGTTTTATTTTTATAGGGAAGATTTTTCTCCCCTGAAATTGTGTCTGGAATGGCAAAATTGTTTCTATTATTAAAAATTGAAGTTGTTAGTTGATATTTGTATGTCTTTATTTATGATAATATTTATATACTCACTGTTTTTGGACAAGCTTTTTTTTTGGGGGGGGGGAGAAAAAAACTACTAGAAGTCAATAATGTTTACAAGGGTTTTTGTTTGTTTGTTTTGTTGTTTTCTGGGGAGAGGACATGACATTCTTCCAGATACCATTTTTGTTTCTTGTTCTAGCCCCAGTCTGCCTATCCTGGGCATTAATTAAGCTTGTTTTCCTTGTGAACTACGTATGCATTGGAAACTGTAGAAAGCCTAGCATACTAGAGAGTGGGAAGCGTCCTGTGCCTACGGACAACAGCCCGGTAGTCCTTAGAAACCCCAGCCCACCCCTGCCGTTTTCCACCTGAACGGCGGCAGCAGGGAGTGTCCAGCTGCGTTCCTGCAGCCGCCTTTACAAATGGGAAGAAGTCTTCTTGGAGTTGGCATGGCTGCTGACCGTGTTCTTGGCTCTACTGCCCCCTAGAGGCCTTCCTGGAATGAGGGCCAGGCCGTGGGAAGGAACTGGCTCTGGATAGGTCACTTTTGGGGGGGTGGGGGGTGGAGAGCAAACTTTCCTTCTACAGGTTATGAACAGGCATTTCAACTCAGCACAGGGGAGGCTTTGGGAATTTTCCCCTTAGAGGGAGTACCTTCCTGCCCTAGGCTTCTTTACAAAATACATTGTCAGTTGGTGAGGTTTTTTTTTTTTTTTTTTTTTTTTTTTGCCCCAACTAATTAAATAGTCTGGGGGCTGGAGAGATGACTCGTTGGTTAAGTGCCCTGACTGATCGATCATCAGGGAGGACCAGGGTTCAATTCCCTGCACATACTTTCAAGTTGATCTGGTGCCCTCTTCTGGACTCCGTGGGCACTCCGTGCATATGGCGCACAAACATACATGAAGGCAAAATACCCATTCACATAAAATAAAAATAATCTCTTTAAAAAAAAAAACATTTTCTGGGTGGGGCATGTTGGCAAATACCTTTAATTTTAACACTCAGGAGGCAGAGGCAAGTGGATCTCTCAATTCAAGGCCAGCCTGGTCTACATAGTTCTAGGCCAGCCAAGGCTACAGAGGGAGACATAACCTGTCTCAAAAGCTGAAATAAAATAATTAAAAAATGTATTTTCTTTTTTTTTTTAAAGATTTATTTATTTATTATGTATACAGTGTTCTGTCTGTACATATCCCTTCAAGCCAGAATAGGGTGCCAGATCTCATTACAGATGGTTGTGAGCCACCATGTGGTTGCTGGGAATTGAACTCAGGACCTTTGGAAGAGCAAGCAGTGTTCTTAACCTCTGAACCATCTCTCCAGCCCCAAAAACTGTATTGAAGTATTCAAAATGGCAAGAAAATAACTTTTGTTTTTTGTTTGGTTGGTTTTTTTGTGGGGTGTGTGTGTGTGTGTGTGTTTTGGGTGGTTTTTTGAAAATAGTGTCAGTCAACTGAACAGTTATTTTCATATGTTACATCAGAGGAAACTGCACAAATAAGAACTTCCTTTAAATTTCATTCAATGTATGAGGCCCATACTGTACCAGTCAATGTGCTGTTGAAAAACCACCAGTAAGGGCTGTCCAAAGACATTTGGTAGGGACGTTCTAAGGAGGTTGGCTCAGAAGTTGGCTCCTGTGGAGGACCCGCATTTGGTTCCCAGCTCCAGAGGATTCGATGCCCTCCCCTGGCCTCTGGGGGTACTGCATGTACCTGCACAAACCCTTGTTTGTTTCAAGACAGAGTGTATAGCCCTGGCTGGCCTTGAACTCACTGAGATCTGCCTGCCTCTGTCTCCCGAGTGCTGGGGTTAAAGGTGTTCGCCACCACCGCTCAGCTTGTTTTTTTGTTTGTTTTTAATCTTATACACATTGGTGTTTTGCCTGCATGTATGTCTGTGCGCCGTGTGTGTGTGCCTGATGATGGAGAAGGCCAGAAGAAGGTGTTGGAGTTACAGGCACTTGTGAGCCGCCATGTGGGTGCTGGGAATTGAACACACGTCCTCTGGAAGAGCTCTTAACCTCTGAGCCATCTTTGCAGCCCCATAGGGTTTTTTGTTTGTTTGTATTTATTTATTTATTTATTTATTTATTTATTTATTTATTTATTTATTTATTTATTTATTTTACAATACCATTCAGTTCTACATATCAGCCACAGGTTCCCCTATTCTCCCCCCCCCACGCCCCCCCTTTACCCCCAGCCCACCC